TTACTTATTATTATTATTATTATTATTATTATTATTATTATTATTATTATTATTATTATTATTATTATTATTATTATTATTATTATTATTATTATTATTATTATTATTACATATAACTTTGAACAATTAAAAATTAATGAAATTAATATGTAATTGATAAAAAATGATAGGTTGTGCACTCTCAAATGGGGGGAAAAAGAAAGAAATAAAAACTTAAATTTCGTTAGGAATTTAATATTGCGAATGCGCTGGTATTTGAACCCCTTTCCACACAACTAATGTCTGTTGTAAAATTTCTATCACTGTGAAATTTCAATTGCAGAAATACAATAATTAGATCGTAACGATTTGGATAAAAAAGGAATGGTGAAAGAAACAGGAAACTAATTAGTATTTAAGTCAATCCAATTAATGAGTAAGATTTTCAAATATTCCTTTAGAATATTCATATTACAAAATAAACTCATATTGTTCTTTCTAAAAAAAAAAAAAAAAAGAAGAAAAGAAATATAGAAAGAAAGAGAAAAACACTTGATACAAAAGGATTTAAAATCAATAAAAATGAAAATGAGGTTACTCTGTGCAGATAAAAATTCCCTAGAAAAGCTGGTAATGAAATATAAAAAATAGAGAGAATTATTAATACCGAAAATGAAAGCAATAAGAAAGTTTATCTTTATAAGAGAAAGAATAATTTGAGTTTTTCAGTGTACATAAATCAAAATTCTAATTTTTAACTTAACATGTTAAGTAGTAAATTATAACGTCTAATGGATCGAAAATTGTGCGAAATGGTTATAATCCCGAAGTCCAATAGTGCTAATGATGGCTGTGATATGGAATAAGAAAAAAATTAACAAGAATGAACGAAAAAAAGTAAAGTATCCGGGATATATAACGGATAAAATACGTTTTTTTCTCGCTTTTTTGTTGTTATCTTCTTTTTTATCTTCTTCTTGCGACGACAAAATTTTATTATTTGATTCTTGTGTTAAAAGCTTGAAAAAGGTTATTTGAAATATATTTAAAATATTTACTTATAAATTACATAGGATTTAATACAAAAGTTGAAAAAATTGTAAAATTTTATTATTTATTTATGAAGATTTTTACAGTTGACATCAGAGCGATGAAATTGGGGAGACAGAGAATAATTTCTCGGTTAAAAATGCCTGCGACATTCCCAATAATATATTCATCGTCTTTTTCTCTTTCTTCTTTAGAAATCAATATTTAAAAGAAAAAAAAAGTCTTCAAAAGACACATTCTATGATCGACATTTTACTATAATAAATCGATCTCATTTTAGCGAGAAATTTAATTCTAGCATTTAAAATAAATAAACGATTAACAAGTTGCAGAGTAAACCGGAAGTAACATCTATTCAATAAGAGGATGATTCTTTATATTGAAACTAATCATATAATTATCGAACATAATTTTTCATTTATAAAATATTTTTAAAAGAAAAAAAGATGCTGTTCGTAACATAACCTAATTAAGCGTTTCTTATTATTTCCTGTTTACTCTGTGCATTAATAAAGAGACACGTATACATACTATATAATAAAATATATTATATTGACATAGTAGAAAATTATGATTATGTATATGTTGTATGGATAAGCTAAATAACAATTGTATGAACATTACCATTTAAACGTGTTCAATGCGTATAATACGGAATGTGTGAAGTTATATTGAGAAACTGGCCTAATAATACATAATGACTTTTGTGCTGATGATTTTATTTATTCGTGGTTCCGATATCATCATATCTAAGAAAAAAAAAAATCATGAAAATCAATAAGGGAACCATCGTTTTCATCAGGACAAAATATATTTATTCAAAACTTCTATCAAACACGTCCCTATATAAGTATCTCATACCTTTCTTATCCTTGTTGCTACAGGGGTCTGAATGATTCTGTAGACAGTCATTAAATTTGATTAAAATGATTAGAAATCAATAATCAACATCTGTCCACTTTATTCTATACTATATGCCATCACCTATTTTTACATTCTAATATCCTTTGAATCGTTCCATTCTCTAACCTAAAAATTAAAAAAAAAATTTTTTCAAATAATTTTCAAAATATTGATTATTATAATATTTTCAGGTGCTGGAGGTGGTCTAGGTGGTGGAGGAAGAGGCAGAGGTATTGGAGGGCCGCCAGGAATGGGCATAGGTATTAGTGGAGGTGGACCAGGAATGTTAGGAAGAGCAGGAGGTGGTTTCGGGCCGCGTGGCGGGCCACACGGCAGCTTTCTTGGCGGAAGTGGCGGTCCAGGCGCTATGAGGATGGAAAAAATTCATCCACATCGCTTTAATCCTATTGGTATGGGCGGCGGCTATGTGCAGTCGCACTTCTGGTGACCTAGTATCGTCGACGATCTGGTTAGCAAGACAGCACCGGCTACGTACCTTTCTTCGTTCAATCGGAGATCAAGCAACGACAATTGTTGTCGTTTGTAACTTTGCCGAATAAACATACGTTTTCTTCGAGCGATCGTGAAGTCATGGAGATATAGGAACACATCAGGATCGAGAAAGGTTGCCCTCATAAACAGTATAATGACAGACAAAGACAACAGGGTACAAGTATAGCAACCTAGTCCTCAATTATGAATTCCTTTGTCTCCTACGATATTCAGATCGAGATGTTTGAGGACTGACTGATCAAGGATATGTAAATTATTATGCATAGTATTTAATAATATTTTTACGTGCCTGAACCAAAGCTCAGAATACCTAGTATTGTAGATACATGTGGCGATAGATATTCAGTTTTAAAATTTGTTTTAAAATTTCGAATATTTCGAGATCTTAGACTATAAAAAATAATTTGAAATTATGGATCCACTCGAAGCCCTCTAAGTAGCATAAATATAATATAATATATCACTTTATTGTGAATTTTTTAAGGGTAAAGCTTATAATTGTTACATTTTTTTGTCAATTTTTTTTTTCGAAGTTTTCAAAACTCATTGAAAGAATTAACTCCAAGATCTCGAAGCAGTTTATTAGATAAAATTTTGGATGATGATAAAAGAGTGTAAAGCTGGTCCTATCGCTATTTCTATATTGCTTTTTATAGTTAAAGTTTCTTCTTTCTTTTTTAGCTTTAATGTCTTCGTTCCATTGTGCGTTTAAATTAGTGGCGTTTATTTTCGCCAAATAAATAATGCACGTTGAATATTATAAAATGTTAAGGTACAAAAAAAATGAAAAAAGGAGGGTATTAATATTTGATTATCGAATTGCCTATTTTAAATTGGGCATAATCAGATTCGATGATGAAGTTATGTCCTGCTAAATTAGCTCTGTTATTGCGTCCCTAAGATCGTTAATAGGCGAATTTTTATGAGATTTTATTTTTCTGACACTCAAAACGCATACGCGATATGAATATTCTTCTTATTCTATATTACACTTAAAAAGATCGTTAAGGCATACTGCAGGCTAAAATTTCAAGATATTTTATTCAATAACAAAATATTATAAAATGTTTCTAATTTTAAATAACAAATCGATACAATATTTTAGAACTGTTCAATGATTTCAATTGTAACAAATTTCCTCTTAAAAAATGTAGATAATATTGTAATAATTATTTAGATTCATTTAGCATACAATTTATTCAGAAATTTTGAATAGTTCTATTTTTCTTTTTTTATATCTGAATTATGTTTAAATATAAAGCTCAATGAATAACTCTTATCAAATGGACAGTATCAAGATTTAATTGTTTATTTAGGCTAACAAATATAGATTCCTGTTATTAATTATTTTATTATATTCTAATGGAGTACCTGTTATTAATTTAAAATCTTTATTCGTTCGTTAACAAGTCAGACAATTTTCATACTTTTGGCCAGCAGCGTGCCTCTTATTATATTTCAAATGAATTGTCACACGATATTATCCTCTTAGCTTTGGTCAGCTTCACGATCGCTCGAGTACTATTTATAAAGACCAGCTAAAGGCTGAACTTTATTGGAAAAGATCTCCTTTTTTCCTTGATAGTTCAATATTTTAATATTTTTGAATGAGAAGGAAACGGGGGCACGTTGAGGACAGAAGCTAAGAGTTTTACATGTTGTTGTACATTTTTTAATGGTTCTAACTCTTGAAACTTTATCAAACGTTTAACGTTAAGAAAAAGAGTTTTTATCGGATAGTGTATAAGGAGACTGTGTTTCTTATGGCGTTGGACCTCGATGGTTGCAAAGAAACAATGTTATTAAGCAGTTTTTTAGTTTTTAAAATAATAATGTAAAATCGATCAAATGTTCACAAAATTTTCGAACTTATTTTTGTATGATTAAGGATATAATCTTTAGATCGTCATTTGTGTACTTAAAAAAATATAAAAAATATAAAAAAAATAAAAAAAGCACCATCGTTGTCCACTAGAATCGCCACAAATTGTATATAAATCATAATAGAAACACATTATTATTACGGCATGTCATAGACAAAAATGAGACTGACTTTTTATAGGGGACTACGCGAACAATTTTAAAAATCGAAATTGTTTTATTATTATCTCAAAGCAAGTGCGCTAGATCTTCATTTTTTCTTCTGTATTTCTTATTTTTCTTTTCTTTCTATTTTAATTGCAACGGGAAGTAAAAACTAAATGCTTTCTATTGCAACTGTATTCATAATAGACATAGCAAACATTGCACTTTACATTATTTAGCAATGAATATGTAATTTAAAAAAAAATTAGTATAATATTCGTACTAAATCTTTTCATATTGACGATTAAGTCATTGTTTTGTAATTTTCATAACATGATCATCAATATGATTTTGTTAACAACATTTATATGATCATTTACACGCTCTCTCTCTCTCTC